TAAATATTCAAGATTTAATGGTATCTACTATCTATAAAGAAGTTATGGCAAAAATAGAAAAAGGCAGCTCATATCAAATCAAAAAAGAAATATATGATCATTTAAAAAACAATAAATTCTAAAATATAATAACTTGAGATAATATTAATAAAAAAGTTATTAGATGCATATAGCAATTAATATTAGTGAAAACAATAGTAAAATTATATATAGTATCACTTGCAACATTAGATTTATTATATATAATATCTGAGCAAACAGATACCTTTATATTCTATTGTGGGTCATGTGGATGATACAATTTACATGTAATAGTTTAGAATTCAAAAATTCAAAAGTCTTATATAAAAGATTGAGTATCACAAGATAAGAAATTATAGATTAAGACTTGGGTACTGATAAGGGAAACTATGTATATCTGAAAAAGTATGAAAAGTTTAGTAAGGTTTAGGATTAGCATAGCTTATTATAAAGTAGATTGTTCATTGTTAGTTAGAAAAGTATAAATAACTTATCAGTGTAAGCTAGAAGGCAATGTTAAATATGTTAGAAAAACAGTCCTTATTATAAATAGAGATAAGAGTTGATGATATATAAAAAAAACAGAACACAAATAAAGAAACACTTACTCTTGGCCAAGTTAATCATCACATCTCTGCCTTTTCTAAGTATTCCTTATAGAAAATATTCTTTTCTTTGTATCAGTTGTAAGTATTTATAAGTTGTTTAGGTTATGTGAGGTACTATGGATTAATGACGGACTTATCAAGTTAGCCTATGGCAATTTAAATATAGAAAAGTTATAACTATTATTAATATCACCAAGAAACAAAAATAAAATTGCAAACTACACAGATAAAAATATTGTATTAAGGTATATACTAATGGATATACAAAAACCCTAGTATCAATAATTCTAAAAGAAATCATCAAAGAAGCCTTAAATATTTTTAATATTATTTCTGAGCTAAAAATAAGTCCCTAAAAGGGGAGGCAAGGACAAAAATCAAATGTCATTCACTAGGAAACATTAAAATTAAAAACTACCTACAATTGTTCTCCATTATTCAAATCATTAATTTATAGTATTTTCCAATTTTTGTCCCTATTAAAATAAAGAGCTATAAATTTTGTTCCTCAAAAAGAAACATATGTGATCTATAAAATTTTATATGTTAACTACTTTAGGGACCTATCATTACTCTAAGCATACTAATAGTACCTAAGTACATTATTTCATATTAAGGTACAATAAGTTACAATGGGTAAGAAAATAAGACTTCACTGCTATTGATAATAGGTATTTGTTATTAATTGATTTTATTGTTTTGCTCTATATAGAAAATAGTTTGTAAAATCTTTTTATAAATTCAGTATGTATAATATATAAAATCAATAAAATAGGTAAGTGTTTAAAAAAAAAAGATGCTGTCTAAATATTAAAAAGATTTATATTATTATGAAAAAAGATTTATAAATATCTATTAATTAGTGAAATATAAAAATTTTTCATATTTTTGCCTTTTAATTTATAATCAGTCCATATTTTATAATTTATATTTTTTTTTATATTTTTTAACAAAATTTATAAATAATTCTTTTTAGTTGAAAGTTATAACTTAATCTGTAAATATTTTAAAATATTTTTTATTTTTATTATAATAAATAAGAAAAATTTATATACAATTATTTTTTAAAACATTGGTTTTTTTTTAATAAATATTCATCACCTTAGAGCATATGAATAAATGTATATTATTTTCAAATTTTTTGATATTTGATATATAGATTGTTTATGTATATGAAAAATAGTTTTTGTACAATTTAACAAATATCAAAAGTTTTATATTGAACATAATTTAATATCTGTTTATAATAAATAAATAACATAGAGTAAATATTTAGATTTTGTATAATTTAGTAAATATTAAATTATACTTCATTAATATAATATTTTTAATAATGAATTTAATTAAAAAAATTTTACAATAAATATTTTTATTATTCAATAAATTAAATTTTTTGACAATTCTTTTATTTTTAATAGTATGTAATTATTAAATATATATAAAAGTAAAAAATTTTATTAATTATATTATTTTTTTTAATTTTTCATAAAATATTTTTACTTATACATAATAAATTCAAAATTAATATATTTTAAAAATCTGTTGATCTTATTGGTTAAATGGAATTAAAAAAAATAATTTTAATTTAAAACTCTGTTTACTAAAATATTCTGCTTAATCTTATTGATTATTTAAAATTCAGTTATGACAAATTTAAGTTTAATAATACAGTATAAAATTATCGATTAATTACTTTAAATAATATTTTTGCTATCTATAAATTCAAAGTTAATCCAATACAAGTAAAATTTTCTAAAAAAAAAAAGAAAACTATGAAAGAGGAAATACTAAGAGAAATAAAAATAAGAATAAAATTAAATCATAAAAAAGTAAAAATTAAAAAATTAAAAAAATAATTAAAAAATCAAAAATTAAAAAAAAAAAAAAAAATAATCCAACTAAGTTCATATTATGTGTAATATACTGTACCTCAGGCTTACAAGCTATTTTAATATGTATAGGCTGATATATAATTAAAATCCATAAAATAACGATACAGTTAAACCCCCAAGCATAGCCGGGTCTACGAGCTAGTAATACAAAAAATAATAATTTTACTACCACCGGAATTCTTAGAGTAAGTCTTAAGAAGCTAAGATCAATCCGGCAGAGATGAAACAAACTCCCATTGATCTTTCCTAAACTCCGAGTTAAGTGCTTTGGGTGTAAATTAAATTGGCATATTTAAAATGTGATTGTAAATATTTATGTTACTACTGATTCGGGCAACCCAGCTCGAAATTACTTTTTTTTTTTTTTTGTGATTCATGCAATGAATATTGGTCAAATGAGGAATGTGCTATAAGGTGAATCCGTTAAACTCCGGCGACTGATAAATACAATGGACTCCACTAAAAGATTTAACGTGTATTTAATTATGGGCTTATTCTTTATCCATTTGATTAGGGCTTGACGTGGTTTAAAACGACAGCCGGGACCTTTTCTTCATGGAACGTGACACATACAGTATATTGTACGGTCATTATACAAATACGTCGCACTTACCCTTTTCCCTGAACTCAAACGGGCAGACTGCTCAAACCAGTCTTTATCTCGTTTTCTGATATATTTGTGCTCTGGTCCCTTTATCAAGGAAAAAAAAAAAAGATAATGGTCAGAATACAATCGGTTTGGTTTGTGCAATGTACGTTCTGTGCATAAATATCATTTGTCATAGGAAAAATCCTGTTACGTATTTTACAAATGTATACAATATGCAGCGATGCCTATCAATTTTTGAGAAAGTATACAATAATGGCTAAATGACTCGGTGGGGGAATTGATGACAACGTCCAGGAGTTGATGCATGTACATTGATGTCATTATCCAAAGATTCTTTTAACCTACATATTATGCACATACAGTATCTCTGGGGAAAAAAATGTACGTTCTTTAATATTGCATACCTCATACGTCATGCTGTAAATATTTTCAAGCACGCAAGATTATCATGCGTGATAAAATTTTCGAACTTGCCGTGCGGTAAAGGGAATAAAAGGTGTATTATATATACAGTAAATACATTATGACAGTATACTGTGTAAATATATACACTATAATGTATATTCGCTGTAGATATAGAGGTCGATAAGAAATTCGAACGAACGGTAGAATAGGAAAATGAATATCTTCTTACAATCATAATATAAATAACAGCCTGTCTAACATATTTATATCACAAATATAAAAGATGACCTGTTACCTTCAATACAAGATATACGGTGTGTACGGTATATCTGACATGCGCAATACGTCCTAATTTATCGAGTTCATCGGATTAACGTCACGAATTGCTGGGCACGTATACTTTTGAAAACGACAAAAATGTTATAAACGATTTTTTGGACCCTATTTTTTAATCACCGCATATACAATATGAATTCTAGGAGTACAATTATAAAGATAGAAAAATCCCTGTCCGCCTTCGAAAACAATTACCCATTTCTAATTGAAATAACACCCAAGTTTGTTGGTAGTCGGTAATCTCCTTTTTTTAATGTAGGAGGATTAGTCACCGAAAAACAAAGCTTAGTAATATGAGTAATTATTTTCGAACGCGGAACAGATCTCTATAATTGGCATTATGCGTATACGTATTGTCCAAATGTGGGGACCGAAAAATTCATGTTTGGTATTTTGGTTGCTTCCAAATAATTATCCATATTTGACATAGCAACGCAGTTATTATAATAATCAGCTGACTTTTTAAATCACATCCAGCCCTAATTAAACGAATAAAATAGGTTCTTAATAGGAATATACGTTATTTCCTTTAGGAACGTCTATTATATCCGATAATCTACATTAACCGGAGTTTACAGTTAACTGATACTGTATGTTTCTACTTTTGACTGATATATACAATTGATTGTTTATTTATACTTCAATCCTTTTTTTTCAAACACGGGTGACCTTTGTCTACCCAAAATAATCTAGGTGGCACGTGGATTTTTCACATTGTTGACTATAAGTAATATCATGCCCGATAAGGAGTTCACTTTGCTGTCGATTTTATCTTAGGGTTAAAAAATAAAATGATGTTCGTGAATCCACGCAGGATTAATATAGGCATTGATTGGGCGAAAGGCTTGCTCCAAGGATTCTTGCGTAGTAGGACTGATTTTGATTTCATTGTCCAAAAATTAATGTCACTTTTGTAGATTATCATACATATGTTTTCACCCGCGCGCGACATAACGTTTGAAAACTTCTTCACCTAATTGATTGAATCTAACCTTTGATACACAAATATGATATCGACATATGTGCTTTTGCGTGAAATTCCGACATACTTATTGCACTCAGATTACGTATAAAAAGGCTGCGTGATTCCACAAGTTGACTCTTCGATGCATCGCTGTCTAGAATATAATGGCCAATCATCAAACGATCAATTCTTCCCAATTACGAAACTCGCAAAATGTACCTAGACCAATCGAACTACCTCTTCAGAACCCTCCACGGCGTTCAACAGTCATTGCCCAGCAATCTGGTCAATTTAATCTTATTGAAGGTCATGCTTTCCCGTTTGATGTTACAGAGCATCAACAAAGGCGCCAACTTTTTCAGAGGTGATTTTTGAAGGAGACGAGAGATGGAGATAGTCACAATCATTCCTAGAGAATATGCATTTCCGTGAAAAGCTTTTCTATTACGCATTCTAATATTATACACACGCCTCATAATTATCTAAGCGAAACTTATAAATATGGAAAGAATAGTGTGTAAATATGTAATATGGGTCCGTTATTGTATTATTATTTTTACTGCCAACTTTCATTCTTCTTTTATTTTTTTATTATATGATGTATTTTGATTATCAAATTGCAATTGCATTATACGTTTATTACCGGGGTTAAATATATTTTTATTTCAGTAGACATGAGTATATGGTTAGGTATGAATACATTAGTATGTATACAATATATTTTTATTACTAAAACGTTTATCGTTTCGCGGGAGACAATAAATATTTTTTGATATTATTATTAAATGAACTTTCTACTGCTATTCGTTAAAGAAGCGAATGCTCACTCAATTACTCTGATAAATCTAATGCTCCGAATGGGCAAATCGTTGTGCCAGTTTCAAAAATTGTTAAAAATGTTCATCTACACAAATGGTATTTGCATAAATTAAATCTTGACTTTGTTGGAATCTATTTTTTTCTCCGCATTATATTTCCGAATCAGCTTTCATCTTCTTTATTATTAGCCTAGTCATTATGTGCATGCATTTTGCATATGCGGATTACCCTGAACTCAAATACATGCAACCGCAGATCGTCTTTACTTTCGATGTAAACATGATTTCCAATCTTTTTTTTGTACGTTCATGGTTTCTTTATTTGAAAAATGGGCGCCTCTATGTACAGTAGTAATACGGCAATTAATTTAGATTGTGCACGTAACGATTGTTCATATATGCATCAGTATCAATCTCATCTTTTTTTTTATATCAAGTATGCAATATAGCGATAAATAGCGGGGTAAGACTTTTTTAAAATTGATTGTTTTTTCTTTCTTTCTGTATCGAAACAAAAGCAGTAAGTGGTACAAATAATGCGATGTACGTACCGTACTGCATTCCGTGCCTATCACTGAAGTACAAGATTTAAGTTTCTCCTACAATAAGATATTATGCAGTGTGGGGGTGTGATAAAATGATTGGACCATTTTTATCTTACTCGTTCGCTAGAGAAAAATACAGCATGCTGTATATTCTATATAATGTATATACAACCCATAATATGTAATGCGTATTGATAAAAACCAATTGGATAATTGACTGCTTCTCATTATTTCAGATATTATGTTGCGTGCATAAAACACCGAAAGTAATTCATATATTCTTTAATATCACATACATTCATCCCTATTACGTACATTCATCACTATTATGTTAAAATACTTACGATACGTATATCGGTTATCATATCAAGCGAAAGATTATCAATGCACAATAGATGCATATACATATGTTCCCAGAAGTGCAAGAGAATAAGTGTATTTTTAATGTTGGTTGACGGATACAATTTTTTTTTTTTTTTTTTTTACTGTAAATATAAAATTTGAATGAAGGGAGGGACAAGAATAGAAAATAATATTGCCAACAATCGCACTCCATAATCATTGTCGCGCGTGCCTTAGATGTGATGGAATAACATCATTGGTTTGATTGTATTTCACTTGTATCAGTCGGAGTGAACTTTACCGTAGGAGTCATGGCGTGCATGTAAGGATATGAGTTGATTCTTTTGAGCACATTACGTATTACTATTTATGAGTACAATACGTAAGTGCAGCACACAGTAGAACACATGCCTACCCCACTAATACTAGTTGGTCCGTGCACTTAACCGAGATGAAAGCAAGGGAACGATCAAAATTTTATTTTTGCAGTATAATCAATATAATTTACCGCATGTAGAGTCAAGGATCTAGGAATCACGAATTAAAAAGCAATCTCTTAATTTCATTTAAAATGCCTATTCAAGATTTTTTCAGTGATTTAATAGAACGGTCCGCTTTTTTTTTCCTTTTTTGATTATTCCTGTGAAAATTGTGCCGTGGCCGTTTCTCAAATTTTATTGACTAAATGAATGTGCAGCATACAAGTGCAAATATATTTAAGCACCATAATATTATCATTTTCATTGAGTAAGCAACAGATAATTATTATATAAATAATCTAAGATGCTTTATCACCAACTTTTTCTAATAAAAAAAAAAAAAAAAAAAAAAACTAGAATAAACTTTGGATGACGCATTAGTATCAAATAATTTCAACACACCTTTATCTACAGTATATAAGACCTCAAACTTCTGGAATTTTTAAATTTTTGTCTGTCAATTCAAACGTTACCAACCACTCAAGACCTTATTTTTATCGATTCAAACGTCGTCACTTAAAATCATATTTTTTCAAATGGACAATAGCCAATCAAATACTTCCTCTCACCAACAACAAAATTCTCCTGGACCTAATCGCGATCTTCCACAGCGCTCTGCATCCGTCGTAGATCAGTTTAATCTCATTCTCGGTCATGATTATCCGTTCGACACCGCAAGAGCATCAACAAGTGCACCAAAACTTCCAGTGATGCTCCTTGAAGGCGATAGAGGGTGGCTCGGTGGTCATTTGCATTTTTGAAAGTGCGCGACATTTCAAATTTTCGTTTTGATTTATTTATTTATTTTTTTTTCCTATTTGGCTTGTCAATTTTTTTTCCAATAATCATTATTTATTCGTGCCTAACAAAATCATTATTTTTTCCCTTAGACTATCAATATATATTTTATGACTTCGTGCAATATATTATGTATTAATTTAAAATGTAATTTCTCTCTATCATAATATTTTTATGTTACACTGCTAATATTTATGCCCGGCAGTGAAATATTCGACGCTTTTTAAATACTGTCAAAGTTTGACACTTTCTTATTTAAATAATCTTGATTCGAACCAGTTTAAAACGATCCCAATTGAGCACGTGGTCAAAAACTGGTTCAAAAAACAAGAGATTATCTACTTACTATTATTTACCATTAGCAATTTCAGATAATGTCAATAAAAAATGGTTAAGTAACTAAATAGAATTAAACAAACAAGATTCCTAGAAATCAGAATTAATAAAAAAAAAACTCCCCCAATATTAAAGCTAAAATAAAGTGGTTTAAAAGAGATTATCATAATTGCTAAAGTATTGAAAAGAATAAACAAGCCTTATATATTTTGAAAAAAGTTCTAATACTCATAATAGAATCCGGAATTCAATATATTGTAATATACTATAATAAAAGTTTTCTAATACTCTAATATGAAATATAAAAACTCTTTAAAAATAAAAAAAAAAAGATTCTCATCAGTATTATTAAATATTCAATAATCTAGAATCTTAGAAAAATAGATAAAAGAAAAAAAAAAACTTTACAATAAATTGAATAATTAAGATTTAATAAAAAGAATAATAATTATTAAATAAAGCAAATACAAATTAAATATAGAAAACTATTTAATTTGTTTACATATAGATTATTAAATAATTTAATTAACAAAAAAAATTTCTATTATATACAGTTAATAAAACTAATAAAAATATAAAAATAATATTTCAAGATTAAAATTGATATAAAATCTTTAAATCAAACATATTTATTAATAAAAAATATTTAAAAAAGCTATATTGTAATTTAATAATATTTGGTTGATATATTTGAATTAATTTGTAAATTTAAAAGATTGAAAAATGCTATAATTAACTAAAATACAAATAAAAATTCTATTTTAAATTAATATCTACAATAATTCTATATAAAATTATTTCATAAAAAAATAATAAAAATTGTAAATATTTAAAATAAATGATATGATAAAATAAACATTTTAAATATTTTAAACTAAAATTAAATAAAAATATACAAACAATAATTCAAATAATTATTTAAAATAATAATTAATAAATAAAATAAAAAAATCAGAAAAGAATATTATTAAAATAGAACAGATGATAAAGAGTATGGAAAAGTTGTCTCTTGTTAACTCAGTCACTTTGTATTATTTTTCTATAGTATGAAATAATAATACATAAGTTTTTTTTCCTTTTGAAACTTTATTACCATTGATAAGAAAGGTGTTTTTTAACTTTTTGATTACTAGAAGTCAAGTTTTTGTTTGAAGAGAAGTATTAACAAGAAGA